TAAATAAATAAATAAATAAATGCTCTTGTAGTAATGCTACTCAGGAAGGCAGAGAGTATCATTTTTTATGTACACAGCTGGTGCTGGAGGGACTGCCTGTCTTGTGGTCAAAGGACACACCTGCAGAGATTGACACTTAGTAGAATTCAGCATTCCTGAAATAAGAACTTTCTTTGCTTAAAAGTCCTCAAGCCTGCAAAATTAGGCAGGTGTGGGTACTGAGCAGAACAATCAAATATCTCCACATGGGTGTCATATAATTCAGTATATGAATAGAATAAAACTGGAATCATAGTGTTTTCTTTCTAGAGAAAGCTGTCTTAAGTAGCAACCCAGGATCAAATTCAAACAGGAATCTCAGAAAACTCTGCATGCCTGCTGCCACCACCCTGCTCCCATTTTTCTGGCCTATTTTTAGAGAGAACAATCTTTTATAAGAAAATGAACTGCCAGATAGCTCAGGTATCTGGCTGTGGAGTGAGAGGTTGGGAGTTCAATTCCCCTTCTGTACCTCCTTGACAGGGGCTGGACTGGAGAGCCACAGGGTCCTTTCCAGCTCCACAGGGTCCAAGATTATACAATGGTGCCTCGATTTATGACCATAATCCATTCCAGAAGATGGGCATAACTTGAAATGGTCGAAGCACCATTTCCCATAGGAATGCGTTGGAGCACAATTAATCCGTTCCAGAAGGGGAAAACAAACAAACAAACAAATTAAAACACAGCCAGCCCCATTGGAATGTGATAGGGTTGGGAGAAAAAACACAAAAACATCCCCCCCACACACACACACACAGCCAACTCCATCAGAACATAATGGGGCTGGGGGGGGCAACACCGAAACACAAAAAACACCATAGCACAGAAACATATCACCCCCAACCCAAACTCACCCTGCAAAACAAAGTAAATGTATGTACTCAGGAGCAGAAAGCAGCTCCAGGCAGTCCGAAGCCTCCTCCGACTCACACACTCTGACTGTTGGGGTGAAAAAGCTACAAAGAAGCAGCCTCTTCGCCTACCAATAGCTAGCAAATTTGAATTCCCCGCCTTTTCCCTCCACCCTTTTCTGGTCGCTACCCAAAGCTCCGGCCACAAGTCAAAGCAAAATTTTGTGGCCATAGCTGGTCGCAACTCGAAATGGTTGTATGTCAGGACATTCGTATGTCGAGGCACCACTGTATAAAAACTCTTTCACCCTTAGAGACTGCCATGTGGGTTTTAAAAGGTGCTCTCCTTCTTACATATGGGGGGGGGGGGGGGAGATGTCTCTCAGCATATGTTAGTCATTTGGAGGATTCGGCTGTTTACAGTACTTCATTAGCCTGGGGAGGTGTGAGACTATTTGTGATCAGGCCAATTCACATTTCAAATGATGTCTGCGGCAATTGCCTCCCACAGCTGATAGAAGGAAAATTGAGAGGAGTTCACAGAATGAAAGCTGTGGAGGCCAATTAAGAGCAACAAACTTATGAAACGAATGACAATGGTTCCATGGACAGAAGAGTAGAGAAATCATTGTGAGGCTGAGCCCTCCATAGCAGAGCTATAACTAGGGTGAAGCAAGTGGGGCTTTGCCTCAGGGCGCCGCTATTTAAAAGGCACTGAGATCTGAAGGTAAAGCTGCTGCTGGATGTTAGGAAAATAAACAGCAACATCTACTGGGTGTATTCACTTTCTTCTCATGGGGGTGGGGAATACCGCATTTTCTCTTCCTTTTTCTTTGAGAGCTCATATCCCTACATCAGGGTGGAGTGGATGAGAGACAACCCTGACTGCCTCATGTGCCAAAATTACTGGTTACGGCTTTGCTCTACAGGCGGCATTAGAAGGGGAAAGGGGTGTGAGCTGAGGGTACACTACCTTCTTGAAATGTACTTCAGTCTATTCACATCTATCCTTGGGCCCCTGCAGTTGCCTGAAAACAAAACTTTTGTTCCATTACAAAATTTAAACTGAATCTGAACTTGAAAACCCAAACAGGGCTGTTTATTCAAGAGTAATCAAAATCCATGAGACTGTGCTTCAAATAAAATAATGTTAGGATGGGAATCTTAAGCTGAAATCCAGTAGTAAGCTGCAACTAGAGTAGACTGGCTGGATCAGTGGGGACTTGGTGAATCAACTCCTCCATGCATTCTATTGATTCAGTGGGCCTGCTCTAGTTGTGCCTTACTACTGGATTTCAGCCTTAGTATGGAAAGATGTGGGGTGAAGTGGGGGCATTGGATAGGTAGCTTCTGAGTCTTCACCCAAGTCCTCCTTTGATGCCCCCATTGGAACTTTAGTCATTCCAGCAGCTGTATAAAAATTGAAGTTTTCACATGCCTTTAAGTGGTGACTCAACAGTTCTAAATCAAAGTCATCCTTTTTTATTACTATTCTGAGAATCTAAACACATGTGGAGGTGGAAATTCTTGATTAAATGTTGCTGATTTGAATGTGTTAGCAAATAAATGAAGGCTTTGTTTACATTTTCATTTGAATCTTTTCCAACATCTGCAGTTAAGGATATTGTCCAATGTACACACAATTTATTTCTTCAGTACACATGGAAATCATTAAAAAGTATTTGTGTTTGTCACATGTTCTTACAAGGCAGACTTGGTTTTCATCATGGAAACAATATTTTTGCAAGACTCACATTTTGGAAAAGTTACCTTTTTTTGGAGTAAATCTCTCAGAATCCCCCAGCCAGTATGACTGATGGCCATACTAACCAACAGGTTCTGGGAGTTACATTTAAAAAAGCAAAAAATACATGTGGGTTGGGTGGGGTATCGTTGGGTTTTTTATATTTATTTTCATTGTTGGAAACCACTCAGAGTAATGGCTTGCCATCTGATGGTACGGTATAGAAATAAAACCAACAGACAAACTGAAGCAAGAAGTCATTTTGTGGAATGCCCCTATTGTTTCACAGAAATGAGAATCAGTTCAAGAGCAAACTGGGAGAGAGGCCACCAACCTCTTCCTGCTTCCTTTTGCATGTGCGCCTGGTTGATCATCACCATTGAGGCCAGCCACATCAAATAACTAGGCATTTCAAATATTATTCTTAATGATTTTTGGCATTTATTCTTAAACCTATGCCACAGAAAGCAGAACAAATGTTAATTTGTGAGGGAGTGGGAAAAGATTGGCCACCTATGTCAAAGAAAGCAAAATTTGCAATGTCTTCTTACTGAATGTAGAATGTGTAGACGTCCTGTATACATTTCCAATGAATTCAACTGGCCATTTTGATACTGCATATGTTCTAGTAACTGAACTGAACCTCGTTTCCCTGCAGGATCTGCCTCGTGAAAAATGACCCAACAAATGCAGAGCTTACAGCTTTCCCAGACGAAAAAGAACAACCCTCCTTCTTCTCCCAACGCTGCTAAACGACTATATCGGAACCTCTCGGAGAAGCTGAAAGGAAGTCATTCCTCTTTTGATGAGGTGTATTTCAGAACCAGATCAGACCGTCTCAGTCTCCGAAAGTCTTCAGTGGTAATTTCTTCCAATTTATTCAGTCATTCTATTACTAGATCAAATTAACCATGCATCTCTCCATGATTAGATTCACTCGTTCCTACATCCCCATTCCTAGGTGGTATCTTGTTCTTTTACTATGCTTTCCTTCCCCCATTCTTTGAATCTATATTAGATCTGCAAAGTTGTTGGTAGGAGGTGTGTATGTGTGTTGAGAAAGGCAAGGCATATACATATATAATATAAGCTTGGAAAAACTGCTTGTCTAGACTCTAGATTATACCTTTCTAGAATCTCCCAGGCCAATATGTTCAGTAGCCATGATGCCGGGGTGGTGGTGGTGGGTCTCAGAACCAATGTCCAAAAAACAGAGGAGGTTTTTCAGAGCTGTGGTTGTAATGAGATTCAATGGGCCTGCTCTAATTGTGCTTCCCTTGTCTATGCATGGGCAATACACAGAAATGTATAGAACAGCCTTACCCGAGGTAGTGCCCTGTCCTCTGGATGTGTTGGGTTACAGTATCCACTACCTCAAGATAATGCTGACCACACGTGTGATCTCACTGTGTCCCAGCATCTCTGGACACACTCCCCCCCCCATGTGCATGCATTGTGTAAAACTGCAAAAGAGGTTTCTGAGTGCATTGAGTTCCCAACCTTGGGTAACCCAAGTGATCTTGGACTGAAACTCCCAGGCACCCCCAGCTAACCCAGCTGGCGGTGAAGGCTTCTGGGAACAGCCGTCTAAGAACATTGGGGTTACCTAAGGTTAGGAATCACTGCTCTCCATGATCAGACACTTTCACTGAACAGGCTGGATGGTAGCAGAGATGTTGAGGATGGGTGAGGGTGGACCTGTCATATATAAACCTACAGTCTGCCCCCAGTTTCAACCTCCACATGTTCTGGTGGATGACTAAACACTTGGATAGTACAACGTACAAAATTATACTTGGATAGTACAAAGATGTTACAAATGTGGTTTCTCATTCCAAATGTGCAGATGTGGAGAGCACAGGCAATTACTTATAAGAAGAATAAATATAACGATAGGCTGAAGCCATCGCTATAAAATGTGGTTTCTCATTCCAAATGTGCAGACGTGGAGAGCACAGACAATTACTTATAAGAAGAATAAATACTGTATAACGATAGGCTGAAGCCATTGCTATCTGAGCAGCAGATATGAGAATGAGGCTCTGCCTCCCGGAGCTTTCTATAAGTGACATTCCAGCCTCTGCAGGTTTGTCAACAGGAGGGTTATCTGGACAGAGCTAGTCTTCTTGCTGACTCCCAAGTTCCCAGCAGTTTTGCAAACAGCTGCATCAGGATAGCATTTCTATCATTTAGTTGTGCCATCTATTTTGAGTGGAAGCTCCCCTTTCATGTGATGTTCTGTATGCCTAATGCTGAATGTGTTTGAGTAATGACTAACATAAAACAAGTCAATGACTGAATGCGACCAAAGTGTATTTAAGGAGAGATGTTCCAAAATCCACAGTCAAATGATGCCTTTATTAACCCCAACCTGATGTATGAAAAGTGATGGGAAAGTTTTCTTGATTTCCAAACTTTTAAATCTAGGACAGCGATTCCCAGCTTTGAGTCCCCAGATATTCTTGGGCTACAACTCCCAGAAATCCTGGCCAGCACAGCTCGTGGTAAAGGCTTCTGGGAGTTTTAGTCCAAGAACATCTCGAGATCCAAGGTTTTGAACCAATGATCTAGGACAGGGTAAGATCGGGGGACAGAGGTGGGGGGTTATTTCTGAAGCTCATATGGAGGGAAAGTGTTTGCTTAAAAGTTTCAGGTTATACCTGGGTTTGTTGAGATGGGCAAATGCAAAAATGGCTCACTTTTCTGTACTTGGACACAAGCTGTACATTAGCCAGTTCTGAGATAAGATATAAAATTGCATCCTTTCTAATATAGGGAGCATTTCCCTCCTTTTTTTACACAATCCATTTAATTGCTTGGGTATAATGTGGCTGAGATGCTTAATTAGTTTTTAATTAATTAAATGTGACACTGTAGGTAAGTGTTTGCCTTGTAAAAATTAGCAGATGGTTTGATGAGATTGATTTGTTAGAATTCTCTACAATGCCAGTGTCGGTAGGGGAAGGGAAAGATAGGTGTGTGTGTGTGAGAGAGAGAGAGAGAGAGGGAGAATGTTTAAGTGTATGATCAGAAAGGCTCAGGCTAAGGTCTATGAAGTAGGTTTTTGTTGGCACCTCTGTTTCAATCATATATAGTGGGTTTGGAGTCAATTTGTTTCTCAGAGAAGCTCCTAGACTGAAAGTTCTACCAAGATGTACATTTTGTGAGATTCACCCCCACCCCACCCCAAAAAAGAAAAGAAAAAGATACATAATGAAGGGTCTCGCTCACTTCTGACATTTTCAGGATCGCATTTAGAAGCATGGTGGGAGGGACTGTAAGTCAATGAAGTAATTGCTCCTGACAGGACTGTTCGAAAAAGTTATCAGGTGGTGTCGTTCTAACCACAGAACAAAAGCTAGTCATTTACAGTAATGTATTTCAAGGCAGGAAAGGCCATTATAAGTAAGTGGTGGCTTTTGGCTAGTTTTGTCCTAATGTGGGTGGAAGAGACATACGGCAGCACCTTGGAAGTCTGTGCTTTTTCCTCTTCCTTTAGGAAAGCCTTCGTTTTTCCTCTACTTTCAGCAAACCCAGTTTCAAAATGGAAGATGTCCTCTGATTGCAGATGGGTAGATATAAACTCTTCTAATGTTGATTATTTCCCTCAAAAGATTGCGAGAAGATGCCAGGAAAACATCCAAATATGACAAGTTGGCAGCATTAAATCGATGCCTATTTAATTAAATAAATGCGTTTATCAGTCTTTTTTTTTTAATGTCCTCTATTTGATCATGTTTGGCCAGAGGCACTTTGAAGTACAAGAAGTGAAGTCTCTTAATTGATTTGGATTCCTGCACTGAGCAGAAGGTTGGATTTGATGGACTTAGAGGCTCCTTCCTATTCTATGATTCTCTGATTAATAACACAGGATTCAACTTTGTAACAAGTCATAATGTTGTCCACCCAGCCATGTACTTTCTACTCTGGCTGGCAGCGACTCTCGAAAGTCTCAGAAAGAGAGGAATCTGATTTAATCCTTAGCTTTAACTGCAGCTGCTGGGGCTGAATCTGTATTCAAAATACCCACTCTCTTTTAGAGTTTAATCCTAACTAAAGGCGAAAGGCCAGATAAGCTCAACTGGAGGTGTGCTAAATCCAATCCCTTTCCAACTTCGGGGTGTTGGAAATTACTATGGGATGTCATCCTGCCTTGGTCTAACTTCATGCTGGCACAGTGGCTGTATCCTTGGGTTGGATGAGGCTTGGGTTTGCCATAAATCGGCTGCTTCATTGCTTCACTCTTCTTCTGTTGACACAGAAGAGCCAAAGAAGATCTAAGATCAGGAAGCAGGACATAGTTCTACTTACATGCTGGCATAAAGGACTCTTCTTCTGTTGACACAGAAGAGCCAAAAGGAGATCTAAGAGATCAGGAAGCAGGACCTAGTTCTACTTACATGCTGGCATAAAGGGGTTTCTGCTGAAAGAAGCAGCTACTCTCTACTCCAAACTGCCTGCCTCTAGTACATTTTAAGCTCTGTTACTGAACTGTGGCAAGGAGTACATGACAACACAGAATCATATCTCATCAAAGCAGAGGTCTCTTACTCTTTCCATTCAATGTAGAGGGCCAGTTCCCCACCATATAGAGCAGAGAGTGCTGGAGTAATATGAACAAGGGTTGGGCAACTGCAGGATAGCTCTGTGGATTAGATCTCTGACTGTGGAGCCAGAGGTTGACAGTTCAATTCCCCACTGTGCCTTCTTGACAGCAGCTGAATTCAGTGATCCATAGGGTCCCTTCCAGCTCTGCAGTTTGATGATGATGATGATGATGAATCGTGATACTCAGGAGGACTTTGTAGTGCAACCTAATCTCTCAACAATGTGTTTTCTAGCTAGGGCTCATGGAAGCCCAGAAAGCTCTCCAAAGACTAAAGCCAAAGCATATCTCAGTTGCACATCTGACGTGACCAAGATGTGCTGGGAACCTTGTAATTTAAGCACAATTAACCACAGCAAGCTATACAAAACTTATACGACTACTGATAGTATTCTGGCCCTTCTATTTTCAGTTCCTGGGAAGTGCAAGGGCACTTGTGGGGTTTTCTGTTCAAAATACTTTAACAGGCCTTGAGCACTGTGTATTTTGTCTTTGGGACAAAGATTTTTCCTTTTCAGGCAGTCTTTTAAAGAATAACTAGGGCATTGGGGAACAGTCTATTTTTGAAATTTAGAGATTTCTAAATGTTTTCAAAATGGTTTTGAAAGTTGACTCAATATTTCATTGTCTTCTAATACATAGTTTTGTATGATATTTTTAACTTCCTATGATTTTAATTGTTGTGAGCCACCTTGGGTCCCCTATGGGGAAAACACACACACACACATAGACATACTCACAGAGAGAGGGGGGGAGTGAGAGAGAGTTAGGCACGTCTTAGCAAGACATTTCTTGGAAGAGGAGGAGGATAACACATGCTTTGTCCCGGTAGGATGTGCTGGGGCGGGGGTAAAATGGCTCTCAGATTATGTTATGCTTCAGAATCTCATGCAAAAAGTGTGCATTTTATTTGAGAATCTCTTGACAGAGTGTTGAAAAGTGCTGTGCAAACATGCCTATTTATAGTGGATACGGTGAAAGAAAGAATGCTTTGCAAGAAAAGGAGGGAGAACAGCTGCTAGCAGTCTCTCTCTTCTATCTTGTGCATATTTTAGAGGTTCTTGATGTTTCCTTGGTTCCATATGCTGTTGTTGCACCATTCTTTGCAATCCTCTTGCGTGGCTGGCCTGTTTTCATGGTCATGGTGTAAAGAATGCTCACTGGATTCTTCATCTTTGTTGGCTTAGGCTGGCTCAACTTGACAAGATACCTTGACAAGGATTTGAAAGCTCCGTGAGATTTCTTGCTATCAGGG